ATGGCTGAAGGCAGCGTTTGTCAGATCCGTACAAAAAGGCAGCCTGGGGGCGTCGTGTGAAATCGGATTCTGTTTGCAGCGTGGCGCACGCTTTAAAAATTCACGTAGGAAGTCACGTCTTGACTTGAGGGGTCTGTGCCAGGAGCTGCCTGTTTGGAAGCTGGTGGCTCGGGTTTCCTGAAGGAGAGCTGGGTTAAAAGATGCAATAATAGAAATTGCTGCACCTGGGGATTGGCAAAAATGCTATGCTGGGAGGTGGGGTGGGGTCCTCAGTCATAGAGACCTGTGCTGACATGGTCAAGTTACCTGACTTTTAGCTTCTCTACAGTCTCCATTGTTTGCTGCTGCTGCTTGAGTATGGGGGTGGGAGGAGGGCATTTCTTGGCTTTTACTGAGTGCCTTAGAAGCAGAACAGCTATTCCTGGGCCCTGCTGCTCTGTGCAGATCTGACTGCCTTTGATCTGCAGTGGCACTGGATGGGCACAGCTCTTCTTCCTCCTCTTCTGTTCTCTAGCCCCCCTCCCGCCAAACTAATTGCAGGAATCACTTAAACCACCAGACTGAAATAAGGAAGGAAGCAGGGTCTCGTCTGCCTCAAATGAGTTCCTGTTTTTTCCTGATGGCTCCTTCCAGCCTGAGATGACACAGGAATGGGAAGTGGTCTGCATGATAAAGGGGGGAAAAAGCAGGGTGGAGGGGCAAGTTGTCCCAGCTTGGCCACTGAGATGGGTCACTTGAGACTGGCTTAATAACTGCCTTAGCATTCATATTTCTTGCTTGTGTCTCAGGGGAGACCTGACTTTACATCATGCTCTGAAATTGGATTAAAATGGTAGGGAAGCACAGACACTATTAAACCTAGGCTGTAACTTAGAGGTGGGCAATTATTTCTGCTGGAGTGCCACTTAATGAGTTTTTGGGCAAGCTGTTGAGGGCTTCGCACATAAAATTAATGGTGAAATCATTTTTAGAAATTGTAGATTAAAAAAACAAAAACAAATTGTATGCTAAAAATCAAACTTCTACTATAAAACACTTTAATTTTATTTCAAAAACTAATTTTTGTCCTGATTTATGTTGTTTTTATGAGTAGTGTATGTAGAGGCAAGACACTCAGCCACGGGGAGGACTTCCCCATGCCCAGCAGAGCAATGCCAACGCCCAGCCACCCCCTGCCCCAAATTGCAAGGAAGCTCCTGCTTCTGCCTGCACCCCAACATAGCCCTCAAGAGCTGCCTGCACCCCCACCCTTCCCATCCACACTTATGTTCACAAAGCCTGGGGAAGCCCAGCAGCCCCCTCCAGCCTGCTCCAGCTCCTCCCCAGGGCCATGCAGGCTATGCCTACCTGCAGCCTGGGGGGTTCCCCTTCCCCCGGGAGGAGCCCCAACCACAGCCCTGCAGTGCTGGGGGCAGCCTCACTGGGGCAGATGGGATGGGAGCCATGCTGGTTGCAGCTGGGAGGTGGCAGGTGGCTGGGCCAGCTTGCAGCACTATGGGGCAAGGCAGGAGGTGGAGCTGGGGCCAGGACTAGGGCTTTACCTGCCAGGAGGTGCTGAGAAAGCCCTGCTGCCTCTGGGCACAGGTGCGGAGCAGCTGCCACACGGTCCTAATGCCTGGGCCAGCTCATGCCAGCTGTAAGCCTCAGGCATGCAGGGCACCACTAGCCCATCCTGAGTCGGGGCACCGGTGCCGGGTGAGTGCAGCTGCTTCTGCCCAGAGTCCCCCGTGGCACCAACAAAGGCTGAAGCCAGAGCTGCTGCCCGCCCATGGGCTGAATAGAATCAATTGGCAGGCCGGATATGGTTCATGGGCAATATCTTGCCCACCCCTACTGTATCTGCATGCTTATTTTGTGCGGGTGAGATTCCAGCGCAGACAGACATACTTAAGCTACCTTACTGGTATGAATGATAGTAAGATATGGCAGCCCAGGCTTTTCTAGGCTAATGGACCCATGCCCAGTTATTTTTCTGACACAGCCACCTAGATTAAAGCTGGTTCAGGAAAACCTGCTTATGCTTCCTAGTTACCTTGCAGACCTGCCCTTCACTGTTGAATAGCCATTAACAAGGGCATGACGCAGGTTTAAGATTAGCTACACCTGCTTGTCTCAAAGTGCCGCTGTCACCAGGGTGGAACATGGGAACTGGTTTAATAGAGCACAGGTATTTATAGGCTACAAGGAGAAGTATGGACGCTGAAGCGAAGGGTGGAGTGAAGCTCAGATAATGATAAAGATCAAGATGCTATTCAGGCATCTGAGTAGATGGCATGCAGGCTCATCACCTCACCCAGCATAATCTTTCTCCTGAATGGGTACAGGTCGTGAAGATGGGTGTAGCATGATCTGTCTGAGAGCTGAAGTGACTACAGGCGACCTGTTCACATTCAAGTACGGATTTGATGGCATGAGTCTCATCGTTGAGTACTGTGGCATGAATATGCATGATATAGTTGGCTCCGTTCTCTTTGCAGCCTGGTGCGTTTTGCAATTTTTAAGTGGCTTTGTGGCAACTGGCACTTAAGCTAAGGACTTCATTAGTCTTTCATTTTTGTAGCAGGTTTTAAGAGTAAAATTGGGTAAACTGGTCCTTGATAGCTCATTTGATCTGATCCTTCACTTTAGGGAAAAACTGGCTGGTTGTAATGATTTGGCACTGCTACCTCTCCTAGCTTTCCCCTTTTTCTGGGGATACTGGGACAATGTTGGAGTCTCCTGTTCCAGTCTGGTATCTAAAATTGTTCTTTCTCTCTCTCTCTCTCTCTCTCTCTCTCTCTCTCCTAGTGGGGAAGACCTCCTTGATCACCCGGTTCATGTATGACAGCTTTGACAACACCTACCAGGTAAAATGATGCACCTTTTCTTTTGGGCTCTGATTTTGCCAAACCCCTACTTGCATGAGGATTCTCATGACCTCAGTGGGTAAAGGTTTCCATATCAAGTAGCTTTGGCTGTATTTTAAAGCTTTATACATGTGGAACTGCTCCCTCTATTTGGCATCTTTATATCATTAGAATGTGCTTTGAGGAGCTGAGCAACAGTGCATAGCCCTTCTCCAAGATTATATAAATGGGCAATTCCATCACCAAGAAACGTAGCTGACTTAATCTCTTTGGATAATTCTGCAAGTTCCTTTGATTACGTACCACCAAAACTTCATAGACCAAAACCCACCCCTTTACCAGTCACTGGGATCATAGTAATAGAGTAACCCTGAAAACTCCAGTTGTTCCTGTTGGTGCTGCCAGAGCTACCATAAGTCTGTGTGTGCGCCTGTGTGTTTTGGGGTAGGTGCTGCAAAATTCAGGGTCATGTCCTGGTGGTGATGGGATTTGGTAGCACTGAGCAACAGCAGTGGATGATTATTAGAGTGGCACTGTCCCATGCTTTGTATTTAACTCATGGCATGCTTGCTGAAAAGCCTCACCACTGCTGGTATAGGCATACCCTGACTGGTTCAAAGCAGTCTGCCCAGTCAAGGTAAACCAAAGAGCTTGCAACAACCTATAAGCCCAATATGTGGATTGTGGCAAACACCTCAGTTTAAAAGAGAAATGTCCAGCACTTCTGCCATGGCTGATAGTGATCATAAAATCATAGAGAAGTAGGGCTGTAAGGGACCTCCGGAGGTCATCTAGTTCAGCCTGAGGCGCAAGATCATCCCTATCCAAACCACCCTATAATTCTTAATCGAAATTCTTACTAAAACTGCAGTTGATTCTGACACAGTGCAACACAAAATGTCCTGACATGCCATAGGTAAAGCAGGGGGACCACGGCAGCCTATGTCCTGCTTCCATAAAAAGGTGGCTTATATACTCCCAAGAGATCCCAGGAAGAGGCCATGCCCCCTGGTACAGAGGAAAGCAAAAACCCCCACAGTGGGTGCGTCTGCATGTTCATAGATTCATAGATTGTAAGGGGCTGGAAGGGACTTTGCAAGATCATCGGGTCCAGCCCCCTGCACTAATGTTCATTAACGTGTCATAATTGCAGCACATTAATTTTAGTACCTGCAGTGACGGGTACTAACTTCATGCAACATAATCAGCGCTACTGCGCATTAGCGCAGATAAACCCTTTTTATGTGATGCTAGTGCACACTAGCATAATTCTACTGCGCATTAGCACTAATGCCAACCACGCTAATGTGCAGTAGAACTAGTCTTCTGTGCATCAAGCATCTCATGTAGACACATCTAGTCTGGACCGATCGGACCCTGGGGTAAAATTCCTTCCTGACCATGATAGGGTATGGGCTGTTGTTAGTCATGGAAGACTTTGGCCAAAGTGGATGGGGGGAGTGGTAGTAAAGGTACTTTGGAAGTGTTTTCTGTGAAGAGCTGCAGTATGAATTACACTGGTATGACTGCTAACCTGCTTCCATAACTGTTGGCGCTGCGGGCCTCAGCGGCAGCTGGATTCTCAACAGGTGGCTGAAATTCTGGTGCGAGAACTATTGCTGCTGAACGAGCGTGGGTGAACCCAACTTTCCCATCCTAGACGGCTTACGGGGTGTGCAGCCTAGACAGCCAGGTTTTGCTTGCTGACTCGGCATGCTGGCTCCAGCAGCCGTGAAACCCAAATATCACTTGCCCAGAGCTGCTTCACAGAACAAACCCATGTTTCGTGACTGACTTAGTGCAGCCGCTTCCCCATGTACTGAACGTTTTCGTAAGAGAAACAGGCCGTGCCTGGAAGAACGCCGGGTCTTTATTCAGGTTTTAAGTAACTTATTGTTTGAATAAGATTTGAATAAGAACAGTTTAGGGAAAAACGATCCATCGATTACTTCGTTCCTCTGAACGGTTGCCTTCCTGTTTCCCCAATAACTTCTCATCGCTGCTACTAGGCAAGTTGGACAGATCTAAATGTGGGTTCCCGTTAGCAGAGCTTTTGTGGTGTGTGCGTACTCCGGTCGTCCTACATCAGCTTCCCCCAGGAGCAAACATCCTGACGAGTTCTGGCCGCTGTAATTACATGGACGTGTTGAAGCAGTTCTTTTATTTAATCATCTCTCCTTTCCCACAGTACTTTTCTCGTTCAGCTCTGCTCTTTTCTCTGTGGAACACATGTCCTAGTTTTTACTTGGAGAGCTTTGACCCTCAGTGTTTTATGATAATGGAGCTGTCGCCACGGGAAGCCGGTCCGCTATGACAAACTAAATGATTGCAAAGCGAGTGAGTGGGACTGAAAACAGCAAGAGGAGTCTTAGGAGCTTATCAAATAGCTTCAATTTAACTGGCATTGGCATGCCTCATTAAGTATTGCCAGACGTTTGTATGGTACCATTCATCTAGGGACCCCAGTGTCTTGCAAACAACTGTGAGGTAGGGAACATTTTCCCCACTTCTATGGACCTGTAATGGCACTGGGTCACAGCAGGGGTAAGTGACATGCCCAAGGTCGTGTTACATATTGGTGTCAGAACCAGAAACCAGATTCCTTCATGCCCCATGCCAAGCTCTGGCTAGTATAGCCCATTCACAAGTCTAGTCCAAACTCTTGTAATCAGCGTGTTTAGTTGTAGCTGGAGAAGACTTGACTCACGGCTTGATTTTTCTGGACCTTTCCAACAAATCCTGGATACCCTGTTTCTGAATACCGCCACAGCCAGTTGCAGAAAAGCATGTCAGCATCCGTTACGACACAGGAAGTTTGGATTTGATGTTTTCTGTGGGTGTCTTATTCCTGTGCTGCAAAGTAAGAGGCAGCCTGCTATTGAGCCATGCCTTATTCATAACCTGATCTCTGGGAAAGCAGTGCTTGTGCGCGCTCGCAGTTCAGCGGAGGGTTCCCAGTGTGAATGAGCAACAAGTGACTGGAAGAGGCAGCCGTGTAGATGCACCTCACTGCTGGGGAGGGTAATGCAAGGCTAGTAGTAGCAAAGAGCTCAAAACCCCTGCAGCATCTTTAAAGGACAACTTAGTGACCGCTTCCCCTCCAGTTCTCATACGCTCTGTGTAAAGGATGCTCTTCCCCAAAGGCATGTTTTGGCTCCGCTGCCAGATACGGCCTCAATGTGGGAACTCCTGGAGGGGTATTCTGTAGCTGCTGTGCAAGAAGACTTGCCAGGTGATAGCAATGGTCCTCCCCTAAATCTGTGTAGGGATGGACAGGGCATGACCAGGGACCCTGGTTTAATTCCTTCTTTGCCACAGGCTCCCCGTATGACTCTGAGCAGATCAGTTCCCAATCTGTAAAATGGTGGGGGCACTGAAATTTCCCTGCCGCGTAGCGGTGCTGTGAGAATACATGCTTGGCCAATGCTCGCATGCTCTTGATGGGAGCAGTGTAAATCCTTACATGGATAAAGTGGAGAGGGTTTTCTCTTCCAGTTCAGTCTGGTTGTACCTTGCAATGTACCTTGTGTGGAACCAGCAGACCCATTAACTCCTTGCTATGTGAAGAGATGGTGCCTGCTCTCCCTTTACTTATCTTCATCCCCATTTATTTTCATGTCCAATAGCAACCCCTGAAGCTTTACAGCATCCTACCTTTTCCAAGTCTGCTAAACCCCACTACAGGCTTTCCCAGTCTCTCTGCAGCTGAGAATTAGCCCAGAGGTGACTTGCCTTCCTTCTGACATGAGTTTGAATGGAGGCGCAGCCTCGGTGTCTTTCGGTGGCTGTACAAGTTTTCCTGCATTAGAAGTTGAGGTTCCTGGCATGCCTGTATCCTTGTGCTCGTCCTCTGCTGTCACTTCCTTGTATCGTTCCAATATGGCCAGAGCTGTACATCTGGCCAAAGACGGCTTGCCCGCCTCTGCTCGTTATACCTCCGCAGGTTATTGTGCCGTGTTAGATGGAGTTATTTCCTATGCTCCGGGTAGGGAACGTTGCCAATGAAATGCTCAAGTCACGGGAGACTCGAAATATTTGCTGTCAGTTATAATGTTCTAATTACCCCCTTCAGAGAGAAGAGAGACCTTCACGAGTAAAAGGACAATTTCACTTAATGCCATCAGCTCCACGCTCAGCCCTTAGCATAACCCTGTGTTTACACGGTGGGATTGGAAGGGCACTAGGAGTCTCCAGGCTTAATTCCTTGTGGGTCAAGAAGTTTTGCTGAGGTGAGACTGGCATTCCCACCCAGCTGTCAAGGGCTTCGCAGCGCCGCGACCCTCAGCATTTTGGCTGTGTCTTGCTTGCCCTGCGGGGAGGCAGAATGAGATGGGGATCTGCACTGACTTCACACTGCACCCCAGGGGCCCCATCTGTTAGCCTTTGGAATCAGGGGTGGCAAAAACCTCTTAAGTCATCAAGTCCTTTCGTTAGCCAGGATGAGCTAATGACATGTTGGATGTCGTGCCTCTGGCTCCAGTGAGGTTTAAACAGACCTATTGATGTCCTCTCATTTAAACATGGGACTAATTTGAGGAATGTCCTTCAGTGCACCCCGTGACTGTGGACAAGTGGTTTGTTTAAATGAACCTTGCTGGTGCCCCGCATGTGTTTGAAAGGAGGCTTTTCAGTGGTTTCCAAGTTAAAGGCCCCATAGCATCTGGCATAGGCCTGTCTCAGCGTAGGGAAAATGTCCAGTCTTTCAGATCAGACTGTCAGGAGCTGATCTGCACACCAAGACATGATTATTAGAGAGAGCTTCTGGTTCAGCTAAACTATTATTACAACTCTTGGAAGAACAGCCCCGGCCCCCAGGCTGCCTGCACTGTTTCTCCACTGAATCGCCCTGCATCTTTTAGGAAAACGTCTTCAATGTTTGGCTTTTTAAACCTCTGTGTCCTGGAACACAAAGGAGACCTGTGGGACAGGGAAAAAGTTCCAGCTTAAACTGTTTTCCATCTTATAGGGGGAGGTTCCCAGCCTGTCTGCTTTATGCTTCCTACCATGTTTCAAACCCTCTGCTCCATGATATTTCCACCTTTATAACAGACTCAATGCACATAATTCCCCACAAGGCATGCCAGGGGCTTAGAATTTTCCTGCTTGAGCAGTTTTCCAGATTTTACAGACTTGGTCTTGGACAGGTTTCACTGCAACTGCCCCATGAACGCTCATACGGACTTGATATTATAATGGCGTGATCCTCACTCTTCTGCATTGTGTAAGGCTTTCAGGCTTTTCTCCCTTTGTATTTAATTTCAGATGGCACAAGGGAATCGATAAGATTTCAGGGAGAGGGGGGGCTTTTCCCATGGCAAGTGTTTAATATAGTTTATCAGAACTGTTTAGCAAGCGAAGCTGGGAATAGTGTTTAACTGCACCAGTCTGCTGCTCTTCCCCCCACTCCGCTGGGGAGGCTGCTTTATCTCTGTAGCTTTGGCATCCTTCACTCTTGGTGATGTAGAAAAGCTTGCAGGACCTCAGCACTGGGATTATACCCTTGTTTCTTCTTTCATACACCTTGCTCTAGTGTCCTGACACCTGCTGGCCTGCTCTAGCAAGGGAAACCCATTTCATTGTGCAGTGAGCTGCAGAGGGAAATTGGGTTGGATCATGCGGGTTTCATTTTGCAGCTATCTTCATGCACTGATGAAGGTCAGTTGATTGCATATATGCAATCCAAGATGAAGGGGGCAAGCTACTAGAAAATGTTAAATCCCATAATAAGGAACTGTTCTTGTGATACGGAAGCATCAGTAGAATTGGGATTATCGTGGTATTGTGGACCAAACTGTTGCTCCAGTGCAAGGAAGGTTACCTTTGATCTTGTTTCAGTTGGTACTCTGCTCCGGGTCTTGGCTTCACTGATGGTGTTTAATGTTGCCACCATTTTTAAAGCACAGTCCAACAAACCTTTCTCCATCAAAGTAAGTAGTAACCACTGTGTCAGGTCTTTCACACAGCTGGAATACACAAGCTTGCAACAGAGATCTCCCTATCCCCAAACTATTCAACACAGCTGTACCAAAGGGGCAGAGACTTCGGGATCAGCTTTACAAGGGCAGTTGCAGCCTGTTAAGAGCTGTTCCCCTTCCTTTGCTGAAGCTGATGGCTGGAATATTTTTAGTTAGCTTCAGTAATATCTAAGCGCACAAAGCAAGCTCTGCAAGCATACACATTTTTTTTTTTGGGGGGGGGGAGGAATAAACAGTTGAAGTGTACACACAGTGTGGTTAATATTAATTAAACACGTAACGTTTTTCATCTTGTAATCTTGCGCTGCTATGAGAATATTGCGGTAATTGACTCCTGTTGCGTATTAACTCACTTACTAAGAATCTTAAGGTTTCAAGTGGAACAAGCCCAGCACGTTTGCATGTCCAAAGACCCTACTTCCCAAACATGGCCCTAACTTCAGTTTGTCTCAGATTCTCTTCTGACATGCCTGTTTAAACACCCTTACAAAAAATGGATCTTTTCTTTTTTCCGATTGACTTTTTAAAATTCCTTTTTCTCTACAGGCAACAATTGGCATTGACTTTTTATCGAAAACCATGTACTTGGAGGATCGAACCGTGAGTAAGATTTTTATCATCCAGTTCTCTCTGGTTGGTTGGAAGGAATTCGGGGGGTGGGGTTTGTCAGAAGGGCGGCATGCCGCACAGGGCTCTGCAGTAGCTTTGAAGGTCTACAACTGGCCCAATATGCCAGTAAGCAAGAGATCAATGGCTTGGGCTTGGGTTTGGTCCCTTGCTTCTACATTTAGTAGAGGCTGACTACTATGGAAGCAATTTCTTCAACCATTCAGGTAGCGAGTACTTCATGAATCTCAAGAGGATGTAACGGTGGGTTTTTTGTATGTCGGGGCGCCCCATCTTGAATTGTCCTTGCTTTGGACAATGTGATGCAGAGTTCAGGGGCAAAGTCAGGCAAATGCTTGTCTGTTGCAGAGTTTGAAAAGTTCTCGGATCCGATGAGGGCTCCTCTTGTCTCCAGATCCTTCTGGTGCTTAACTGGGAGCTGACTACACATTGGATCGTGCCTGGAGCCCTATGTTTGCATCCGATTCCTGTTTGCTTAAGCAGGAAGAGTTTTTTGCCGCAAACATAACCCACCAGTTTATGCTTATTTACTCTGTTTAGCACAGCCCCAGTCTCTGAAATTAAATCAGCGAGCCACAGACATTAACACTGTGGTTCAAATTTAGCTCAGATCTTTAATTAAGAAATGCTGCTGCAGAGTATATATTTGTACAATGCATACATTTCTGGTATTGGATAAACCCACAGTGAATGTGACTGGATTTAAAATGATCTGACAATGAGCATGTTCGTTTTTGTTTTTTTTTTAAAGGCATTTCAGGCCTTTGAGTGTCTTTCCCATATGATCTGTATGTTGTTTATAGAGTATCTTGCATATTGTTTTTAGGAACTAGATGGTAAGAAATTTCAGCTTGCTCTGGCTGCATGTGTGATTCCCAAAGCGTTCCTTTGCATTGCTGCTAAACCTTTTTTTTTTCTTTTTTTTTTTTTTTTTCTTTTTTTGGTGGCTTAATATCGAGCATTTTTCCTCTTTGGAAAAAAAGCACATTAGCAGCTGCTCCAATGGCTTGACAGCAGCTAAAGAAAGACTCAGTTAGAAGTGGCCTTCAGTCCTATTCTTCCAACCCCCACCTGCCCTACAGGCCTCCAGAGGTGACCCCTTGTTCCCTGGTAGCAGGGAAAATAGTAGCAAACCGTGAACAGCTTCCATAGGCTAGCATCTACATCAAATTTGCCTTAGATTTTCCCACCCTGAGAAGGGAGCAATTGCATTCCCTGCCCTCTGGACCTGGCGAGGGAATCCAAGCAAAGCCAAACATCTTTCTAGATGAGAGAACCCACAAATTTAGCTATTGCTGGAGCCAGGGCACAGTGGGGGAGACAGCTTCTACCCCCAGCCCCCAAACAATCTGCTGCATGACTTTTTTATATTTTTTATTTAGCTTTTTTTTTTTTAAAAGAAAAAAGACAATAAAGTTTCTTTATTCTTTTATTTTTAGTGGCAGGTTTGGCTTTTTCTTTAATTTTCTCCCACCACCCCCCCACAGATCAGGTTGCAGCTCTGGGATACTGCGGGTCAGGAACGGTTCCGCAGCCTCATTCCCAGTTACATCCGCGACGACTCGGCTGCCGCCGTAGTAGTTTACGATATCACAAGTAGGTATATTGCACCGGGGTTGACCTTTTTTTTTCTTATGTTTCTTGCTTGTTTGACTGATTTTGTTAGGTACGGTTGCAATTTTGGGACACAGCAGGGCAAGCGCGGTTCGGGAGCTTGATTCCTAGCTACATTCGTGACTCCACTGTCGCAGTTGTTGTTTATGATATCACAAGTGAGTGGGGGGAATTCTGCATTTCTAATACTCTGCTCTTTCATCCTCTTAACCCGGCTTTGCATGCCCTGTCACAGTCATGTGCTCGTTCTTCATTCTGGCATGAGCGGTGTTTCCTATACCATAGTCTAGTTTAAACCAAGCACCTGATAACACCAATAAATTGACTGACTAATCCACCTTCGTGCAATAAGAATGTCTTAACCCTTTCCTGTCACGTATCTAAAGCCCTGAACACTGCCTGGCCTTGCCGCGCTTTACCGGCTCTTCTTGGGCTATCACCTCTATCTTTTGACGTGGTCTCAAACACCCGAAGCACCTGGCTACGCAGCTTTGAACTTTCCACGTTGGAGCTTTCACACTGCTAGCTGCAGCTTGCTTCGCTCCATTCTGCCCAAAATGCGGGCCCGGGCTGGGGAAGGATGTATGTTTTCATCTCCATTCTAATCGGTCACCTTCATGTTGCAGTTTGTAAAGCTCCATGACTAAGACTCTGCCCTTTTTTTAACAATTTGCTCTTTCATTCTTTACTAAGGTACGTACGTTTTTGAGGACTAAAATGTTACTGCTTCCTGCACCCCCAAGACTGGGTTAGAGGCCCATGGAAGCGTAATAAATTAATTTCTGAAGAGCCCTAACTTTGTTACGGGAGAAATTTAAACTTTCAGACCTTCTTTATTTTTTTTTTCACTGGGTAGTGACTGAGTGAAATGGTCTGAATCGAAACAAATGCAAAATGGGCTTATCCTTTTTATTCATAAGTACTAGAACAGTATGGCAGGAATTAAGGTTTTTTAGCTATAAACTTACTTAAATTGTCGTAAGCAAACTTAAAAAAAATTTTTTTTTTTTTTCAATTAAGCTAAAATTACAGGTTAGCTGTGAACTTTAGTATCTACTGACCTGGTGGATCCAACACTCCTAAGTACTGAAGCAAAGCTTTATGCCATTAAGGTGTTGGCCAGTGCCTGACTCTTAACTGGCAAAGACCTGCAGTATGTTCACTATACAGTTTAAGCCATTAATAAAACTACACTTGCCAAGAATTGCAACAGGGATCTCCCTGTTTAAGCATAAGAAAATCCATTGGCATCTCAGATTCCTTTGCAATAGAAACTCTTTAATGACAGCTGCCATACAATTCACCTTTCCCCTGGAACACAGTGTTACAAACAAGGTTATGGTGCATCAATAGTTAATGCTCCTAAAAATCTTGCTTTATAGCTTTAAATATTTGTTTTACCAAAGCTGCTAGAATAAAAAAAAAAAAAAAAAGGATTTTTAGCAAATATAAAGTGCCAAAGGACAGGTTAAGCTTTATTTATGTTTTTAGTGTGATACAAATGATTCTGATATTCTTTTGAGGTTGGTGTTTAAGCGAAAAGGAGTTGTTGGTAATTACCCAAACCAAATATTCCTAAAAGAACAAACGAAAAACCAGGGATTACAAAATGATTAACCAACCCAAAGTGCATAACTGCTGTTAAATGCTTGCAAAAAGCCAAGGTGCTGTAAGGATCTCCTGCTGCTGATGCTTACGTTTGATATTTAAGTCATAGAGAGCAGAACAAATGACAGTGTTTTCCGACTCCCCATTTCACACCCAAGTTCTGTGTTAAAAGGAAACGGAAACTGCTGTTAAAACTGTGGTACGGTCTTGTTAGGTTGTGCCCTCAATTAAAGGCCACACACAATTGAATTAAGTCTTGTTACAGGTGCATTTAAAGGCAAAGAGTGAAATCCTAGCCCCCTTGAAACCAGTGATAAAATTCCCACTAGGTTGGCTGGAGTCAGGATTTTCAATCAATGATCTGTCATAATTTTAACAAGCCAGTTCCAGAGAACATGAAGACTTAGGAACACATGTTAACGGTGATCTGGAAAGACTGTTTGCAGTGACACCCATCCCATTGTCCTGTTTCTTGCTAGATGTAAACTCATTCCAGCAAACCACAAAATGGATTGATGATGTCAGAACGGAACGGGGCAGCGATGTCATCATTATGCTAGTGGGAAATAAAACAGATCTAGCGGATAAGAGGTATGGTAAATAACTCACTTGTCATGTTTCTGACTTGTATGGCCAGTCTGCTGCAGTTTTCCTCAGAGAGCTGTTTTTTGTTTTTTTTTAAAGGAGCACATTTTTCATCTAAAACTTAATTTGCTTAGATTTATACCAAAGCTGAGATGAATAGAAATGGTCTTGAACTTCTTAAATTTTAATTAAAACATTAAACTTCTTTTTGACTTGATTGTGAGTGCAGAGTATTGCATTTTGCAGGAAAAAACAGAATGAGCATTGTTAGTGAAAGCCAGGGAAAGGATTGGCCCAGTTTTAAGCTAAGCAAAATACAAAAAAAATAACAAGCAGCATCAGTGATGATCAAGTACACTAGGTTATTGCTGCTCCAATGTAATAATCTGGATTGAACACCACTGATGAGTTTAAATGATCATGTACCCCATTAAACATCATGACGCTTGAAGTCCACATTTGGCTTGGGTCTTTGTTTGAAGGAGCAATTTCTCTTGAATTGAGTGACTACAGCTGTAAGTTGAGTGGAATTTTTGTCCACACTGATATAAAATGTTTTTGACTTTTGTACTGGTATTTAAACATTATTACCTGTTGTTCATGGTGTAAACAGATGTATTTCTGCTTTATTAAGACATGGCATCTTAATGGTAGTACCCTTAAGAACATACTCTTATTATATCTTTGGACTGGGCTAGAAACTAAATGTCCTGACAACAGTTTGCCCTGTACCATAATGGAATATGTTGTAAGTCTGGGCCCAGGGCAAAGCTGTCGGGTTGGATGTGTTAAGTGCCTTAGCATGTTGGTGTAGATTCCCTTTCCCCTTGAAACAAACTCTTTTGCTGTTGAGTTGACTGAGTGTGGATGTTCAAAAGTGATCTGCCAGTGCTTATAATAGCTTGAAAACCTAATATAACAGTGCTTTGCTAAACATTGCTCATTAGAGTAACCCATAGAAGAGAACAGATCAAGCCGTTTAAGTATAGTTTCCTTGCAAGGGACTTCAGCAGCCAGCAACCATCCTAACTTCGTCATCAAAGAGCTGAGAGTTGCTGTTTTGAACTGGATGTTACAAAAGCATCAGTGAAGTAGGTTGTTGCCTACAAAAAGCCTGTGCCTCTCAAAACCAGTAAGTCTCTAAGGTGCCACCCTGCCCTACTGTATGCCATTTTGAGCTAGGTGTATAGAAACCCAACTCATGTTTAAGTATAGTGCAATTCTTACAGTGGTAGCTGTCCTCAGCCAGCTCGAGTATCTGTTGGTTGCATATAGTGGATAACCGGTGTTGGGGTAGGGGTGGGTCTTTTGTCAACCTGTTTACTTGCATCTAATGCCATGTTATCTTCCCCAGGCAAGTGTCCATTGAGGAAGGAGAAAGAAAAGCCAAAGAGCTGAATGTAATGTTCATTGAAACTAGTGCAAAAGCAGGATACAATGTAAAACAGGTAAGTGACCACCGGCCAGCGTACGTTGAGCTCCAGTGCTTGTTCTCTGCGTGATGAACCAGAACATAGAGTGCTCCCTGGCCGTGGGAATAGAGTAGTCTGCTCAAGTACGCTGGGACAGATATTCTCTGTTCCATGCTCAGCAGATAAGCCTTCAGTGTGAAATAGTCATTTGCGACACAGCAGGTAGGAGGAGAAGTGGTAGATCTCACGTGTTCATCTCAGGGCAGGAGGAAGAATCTGGGCTTGAAACTGTTTGTTCCCAGAGTCTGGTTGCTCTAAGGCTAGCATTACAGTTTATGGTGGCTGGGACTTTGGGTCCTGTGACTACACTACTAGTTGGCTGTGTGACCTTGCCCAAGCCAGTCGGACTTAATGGTGTTTCCCAGTGTGGCTTAAATGTTGCACAGTTACTTGGAAGGGCCTGTAAATGTAGATGTTTCTGGAAAATTTCCCCATTTCCTGCAGCTAGATAGAGGAAAACCTACCGGAAGACCTCCCAGTTGGGCAGGCTGATGTAGCAGCTTTTGATCTGCTGCAGCAATGTTGAGTTTTTTCATGTTGCAAGATGGGATGTAGCTCATTAAAAACCAAACTGTCAAATGACGCTTTTAATGCCTGCTGTACTACTAATTAGTAGTTGGTACTACTGACAAACTAATACTTCAGCTACAAAGTGCCCCCAGTATGCCAAACGGCAGCTAGTTCTCACGTATCTTAAATAGGCAGTCAACTTGGAACATAAATCAAATTAAGCCTGGTGCTAAGTGTGAAAGGCCACAGTTCAAAAGGCCTTGTGAAGAGAAAATGCATTTAAATGAAAATCCAGGAGATAGCAAGCTGTTCTCCAGCCAGAGCTTGATTTCGTTTTCACTGTTGATGAAGAATGGTAGTGACTGCATATTTCTATACGTGACCCCTTTTTGGAGTGGGACCAGGCCAGAGTTCATCTCTAATGAAGGAGAGTTTCTGTCCAGGCTTCAAAACCCAGCTGATGCTGTTTCGAGCGTTGGCTGGAATGGTATAGGGACTGGAAGGAACCGTGAATCACAAAAAAGCAGGGCTGGCAGGGGCATCTAGTCCAACCTCCTGCTCAAGGCAGGAGCCAGCCCCAGCTAAACCATTCCAGACAACCATTCCTAAGCCTTTAAACCGAGTCCCCTGCACTGGAAAGCATTTACCCAGAGTCCTAACATTTCTCCACTCCTCACATGTATGAAGGGTCACCTAATACACAACAGCTACAAGACATCCCAGGCATTTGGCGGGGAAGGGGGCACAGCCCTTTAATTAGAGCAGCTCCGAGAACTGCTTTAAGTAAAGGACCCGGAGCGTCTTGTGTATCAGCGTCCCTGTGCTGAAAAATGACAGTGGGCACACTTTAACCTAAAGCTTGTTGAATGAGCTTTAGTTAAAGCTCCCCTGCCACCATTTTTCCAGTGCAGGGACACCAATACACATGATGCTGGAGTCTGCTGGAGTGCAGTAATTACCACGCTGCAGCAGACTTGCTTAATCAGGTTTGCTCCGACATGTTGTAATTATAGCGCATCTGAGCAGCCTCGCTGCATGTGTATAGGTGCCCTCTGTGCTAACCAACCAGACATACTACATCTCACCACAGATCCAAGCTGGGGAAACAGAGTGCCACCAATGGCCTGCTGTTCCTCTGACAAAGAAATTCTTGGATAATATATGCTCACCACACCTAGGAAGGGGACAGCTGGACAGTTACAAGCTGGGTCCTCAATGCAGACAGTAGTTTAGAGGATCAAGCTGGCAGGAGATGTCTATGGTATATCTAAGTTTCATCTTGACATAAAATGTGAGTGCTGTAGTGAATAAAACAGTGCGCTTAAACTGACCACACCACAATGATCTGATTGTACTGGAATGGTAGATCCATTTCATTTAATGTCTTAAAGACAGACTTCAGCTTCTTGTATGCTCTATCTCCATTGTTATTGAGGGGCAAGTTACTCCACTCATCACTGGTAAGAACGTGCACTCAGGCAGTTACCAGTGAGGACCTATAAATTATGCCCTTGCTAACCTTGTATTTTGTTTGTGTGCCATCCCCTAAGAGCAAAGATGCCCAGAGGGATCATTTGACAACTGGAGGATGGATTTTCCTTCGATGGGTTTTGATCAGGGACAGACTTCAATTTTTAGGATTTTTTTTTTTTTTTAAAGCTGTTTTTCCAATTCTGTGGAAGAACCTTCTTGCAATTTATGTTTTTCTCCAGTCTAATCAGTACCTGCTACCATAGTCCCCATAGAAAAAAACTCTTCAGTTAATCACCTGCTTCTCCATTTTCTGTGCTGCTTTTCTCCAAATAATCTTGGATTATTTTCCTTTGGTGCAAACAGAAATTCTTCTCTAAACAAAGTGGAGAAACTTGTGATGGGTATAAGTCCTAGGTCTGCAAAAAGCACTTTTTTTACTAAGACAACATGAATGGAGGCAGTCGAGTTTGACCTTCCTCTGACTGATAACTTCTGTTCATAATGAAGTGCTGTGTGTTGGCTCTGCAGAATAATTACTGTCAAACTTAATCTTCCTACAGGAAGGTGATTCAAGTGTCAAATTATTTTACGTTTGGTTATATAAAGTAAAATGCATTTATGTAAAAAATCCAGGTCATTTAGTGCTGAATATCAATCTTTAGAATATAGGGGACTTTTAAAATAGTAGCATATCATTCGTTTGTTCATTTTGGGATCAGAAATTCGGATTTTAGCATCTTAAATAGCATGCTGTTTTGGTGTTGCATAGTACCCATGTGCATCGATTAAGCAACGTGAAGTGATCTTTTTCCACTCAAAATGTTTCACACTGTTTGGACTCTTGTAACTTCATTGTTCCAGCTCTGGGTTTGTTGTCAAGATCTCCTTCAGAAGCCATCTAGGCAGTTGCAAAGGCCTGGCAGGCTACAGCTCTGTTTCCAGCCCACCCTTGTCAAAGAGTCATCTTCCAGTATCTGTATACTTTGCTCTGCCTTTGGAGTAGGAGAAAGTGCAGATCTCTCTGCTGGAACAGCGGGTAACCTCAGCTAGGTAGAAACTCTATTCTTGTATTATTAGATCTTTCAATCATTTGTTTTCAGCGCTCCTGACTTTTAAGGTGGCGACACTCGTACCTTATGGTACATTAGGATGATAGGAAAATAGGACTAGAAGGACTCAACGGGTTCATCTAGTCCAGCCCCCTGCTCAAGGCAGGACTGTCCCTAACTAAGCCACCCCAGCCAAGTGTCTGTCCAACCTGCTCTTGAAAGTTTCCAGGGATGGAGATACCACAACTTCTCTAGGTAGCCCCTTCCAGTGCTTGACCACCCTCAAAGTCTCTCCTAATCTTCAACCTAATTTTCTTATGTTGCAGCTTGAGGCCAGGCTCCTAGTCCTGTCCCTTACTGTTACAGAGAAAAGCCCGTCTTCATCCTCTTTCCAATTGCCCTTCAGGTATTTGAAGACTTACCAGATCCTCTCAATTGTCCTTTTCCAGACTAAGTAACCCTAGTTCTTTCTGCCTCTAGGAAGACCTTGCGGCTGGCAGATGTGCTAGCTTGGAGGTCTGGATACAAGAGACTTTCCCAGTAGCGTGGTGGTTCCATCTCAAGTCTCCTCCTTCACCCGTTGCTCTCCTGAAGGGGGGATCTCACAAATCCGCTGATGGGGCAGGTCCCCTCCTTTTAGCTGCAGGTCGGCAGGTGAGCCTGCAGCACAGATTCTTTCTCTTACGGCCAGGAGAGAAACTCGGATAAAGGCACAGCCTTCTCTGGGCATGCAGATCCTCTACGTTTGACACTCTTGCCTTGGGAAAGAGGGCTGCCAGGCCTCGTGGCTTGGAGAATGGACTTTCCAATAGCACGTGAACAGCAGGGGAACACTCACTCCTCTAAAATAATTGCATCAAAGTGAAATTATTCCTTCGTGCTGCTCTGGATGTCCTGTAAGAGCAGTTCAGCAAAGGTCCCTCAGTCTCTTTGAGAGCTCAGGTCTGAGGGGAGGAATGGTTGCAACTTTGATTTGCGGAATAGTTAATCTGTTTGTTGGCCTTAAGCAGGGCTTAGTCTTGAGACTTGCTCTTTCCTATCAGGCCTGTGGTGTTTTTTTGTTGGGTCTTAGCCTGTTTCATGCCTAGGATACATGAGAGAGGTCTCTTTAAAGCATCCACCTGGCGCATTCTGCCAATGTTCTGGAAGAACTACAGGCTGAATGTGGCATTGGTTGATGTGGCATTTAGCAAGAAGGGTTTCTCATGGCTGGGGTTCAAGGGCAGCAGCCTGGTCTTCAGAGCTGGCAGAGTCCAGCAGCTTGGCCTTTGCTACCATGCCTTCATTTCTGTTTGTTCGATGGGGAGGAATTGCCCTCTGAATCATACCACTGTGCCCGAGAAGTGGGACCGGGAAAAACCATTCTTTTCTGGTCCCTGCAACACTGAGGCAGCAGATTATCACGCAGGCTCTCAACCTGGGCACCGCCTTCCCTGCCCTTCCCATATGGCTGAATGGGCTAGAAGGGAGAGGGGATGTCACAGACAGAAAGGGTTGAGACCTCGGTCTAAAGGAAGTGCTACCTCGAGACCCCAACACTGCTTACGTTCCACCAAATCCAGCAGTGAAGCACCCCTGTGAGAATGGGGGTGAAACTCTACTGGGGGGTAAGTCGCAATATTTTTGTGCCATCTCTTCTCATCCATCGAGGTAGCTGTTTGCTAAAGGTTAATCAGCTAATACCTGCTCCCCGGTGGTAAGAGAGCAATAAGCAACTACTGGGAGCTACCCTGGGATAGCTGCCCTGTCTGTCCATTCCTAATCCAGGTAAAAAGCTCACTGGTAACAAAACCAATAGACGTTAGGTTAGGATACAGTGTACGGTAGGAGGATATGTCCATATCTTGTTAGTGACTGCTTAGCTGTCACAGGGCAGGGAGAGCAGGGGAAGCCAGGTGACTGAAGTGTCAAGGGGCTGGGGCTTCTTGCTTGGGCCAGAGAAGA